GAGAGAGAGAGAGAGAGAGAGAGAGAGAGAGAGAGAGAGAGAGAGAGGAAGGGGAATAACGTGTGGAGGAGCAGGGGGGAAATGGAGAGGGAGGAAAAGTGAGAGGGGCCGAGAAACGAGGGAGGGGATCGGCAGAGCGGTTTCAGATGGTTTCCATGTGTTCCGGAGCAGAGCTTAAACTGAGATGTGGTTGGATGCTAATGAGAAAAGTACTGGTGGTAATGGAGGAAAAGAACAGAGAAGGTGAAAGAGAGAGAAAGTGCGAGGCACAGCGGGAGAAAGTGAATAAGAGGGAGGGAGGGGAGGCGAGCAGAGTAGGACGAAGGCGAAAAAGATAGAAAGTGGAAGGGGAAGGCTAGAAGAAGGGGAAAAGGGGAGGAAGCAAGGAGAGGGAGTGAAAAAAAAGGCAGCGAGGGAGAAGGCCTAAGGCTCCATATGTGCCAAATAAACAGACGAGCACATATGGTAAACCGCGCACGGACAGCAAAATACAGATGTACCAATGCACGCGTTGACGGAGCGAGAGGAGAGGCGAAAGACAACCCAGCAGCCAGTTTCAAGGAATACAAAATAGTTTGGCCAACATCCACATGGTTAACAAGTTTTTCCTGAGTTCGACCAGTAAGCATCGACCAACACAGACAAACCCCCCCCCCCCCCCGAGACTCCTACCTGTGTCTGCTGCGGGATGTTCAGAAAGTTGTTGTCCCGTGATCCGATGCCGACAAACCTGTTGGGAGCTGTGGCGCCTGACGTGGAGTATGCTGGAGAAACAGAAGAGGAACAACCGGAGGCGTCAGAGATTGTACATTCTGGGAAATGTGGGTATTCACTTTCTTACCAGTTGGATGAGACGCTTGATACCGCTCTAATGTCTGCACGGCAGACACGATGCTACATCTAGCAGCTTCTTAGCTTCGCACAAAGACAGGGTCAGGGGGGGGGCTAGCCTGATGTGTCAGAAGCTAACAAAACCTGCTTCCCAACACGTCTAAAAATCACAAATCAATACGTTATAGTATTGGTTTAATTGGTACAAAAATGAAAGTGTAAAAACAACAGGGTTTCGCACATTTAGGTATTTGTAACAATCAGACATAACATTTTAATTAGATAGCTAGTAGGCTGATTTGGTTACCTTTAAAAACAGAGCCAGGCTAGGTGTTTCCCCCTTCTTCCAGTCTTTATGCTAAGCTAAGAGGCTGCTGGCTGTAGCCTCATATTTATCACACAGTTACGAGAGCCGAGACATATGTCAAACTATTGCCGTAACTTGTAAAAAGTATCCCGTTAACCCACTTGTTCGCTGTTGTTAAATATTAAAGACGCAGATAAATCAATTTAGAACTACAGAGAAGTATTTCATTGAGGTCATCACAACTCAACAGAGAAATCTAGAATGCAAACTTAGCTATCCCCGAGTGATTAAATCCTGTTGATAAACTCGGCTGGAAGTGATTGAGCGCACCAGAATCCTGACATTGAGGATCAGTCAGGGACATTTAAAACCCACTGGCATCAAAGCCTCAGACAAATTTAGGGCAGTCTGAAACACCCGACGGACTCCAGCATTCCAATCTCACCGAGGGATTCAGGATGCAGTGTGCAGACTTGTGTTGGTGCGGAGGAAAGGGAGGGAGGACAAGGAGGAGAGAGACAGAGTGAGAGATAATTTGGAGATTGTATGTGTATGGACATATACAGTATACATCCACGTGTTTCTAAGAATTGGAATAACATACATAAGACATAAAAAAGACTGAGACGCTGACTGGGGGGTAAAACGCAAACACTAAATTTGAAGGAAAGCTAAAAGAAAGAAAAGAAAAGTGCTCCATCCAGTGCCCCTCAGGTGAGGAAGACATGTGTACTGAGAGAAAAGCCCCACGGCTGGACTGACACCCCTTCACCTTAAAACACACCCTATTATGCTGAACAATCACTAAGCAAAAAATAAAATAAAAAATAAAAGAATCCCACCAAGAAACTAAACCAGCTCAACCAAACACCAGTACGACTACATTCTCTTTCCACCAATGTCCCAATTTCTCCCGGAATGTTTTGGAGTCCATTTAAATTAACTGCCCTAAATTTGTGCTCGTCACCAGGAAGAATCAATAAATAATCCCAAATCTCTTGGTTTGCTAACGAGTCTGTCGAGGGAGGAAAGGAGGATTTAGAATGAGAAGAACTGGGCTGGTGATGCGGTTTCCACACCAGACACCGCAGGGTGGGCTCAACACGTAGCGCCGCTCAAAACTGACGGGGCCTAATGCAGAACCCTGATGAACACCACGGGAGTCCTTTATGAAAGACGTGTCTAACCAAACCTCTGGTGGCCTGGATCTACTCTCAGCTCCACAGTATTTCCTGCGCTGGCTTCCATAGCCTTCCAAGGGTTAACGGAGGTGAGGTGTTGGATACACAGGAACAATGATGGCACGGAGTCGGAGGAAGAACAATGGCAGGGGGTCTCTTTTCACTGGAGAGGGTTGGAGGGTTCAGATTTTGTTTGTTTGTTGTTGGTTTGGTTTTTGAGAACGGTCTCTGCGGGGTCACTTACACGGAGATGCGGGCGAGGAGAGTCCGCCGTCAGGGGGCGTGCTGTTGGGTTTAGAGTCGGGCATAGGGAGGGGCACTGGGCGGGCCACTGGGGGAGGTGGAGGCAGCAAGAAGGAGCCCGGCATTTTGCTCTGGCCGCTCCCGTTTGGCTGCAGACAACACAAACAGGGTCAGGAGGGCGACATGCGACAATCCGCAGACACGGAATGAAAAAAAGAGGACGCAGCTCGGGAGGCCGGGTCCAAAAAAATATCCATGACGGAGGGGGGGGGGGGGGGGGGGGGGGGGGGCGATGGTGGAAGGAGGGAGAGGAGGTGGTGGGAGACAACAACCAAAGGGATGATGTATGTGGACGGCATCTTTTTATGGAGGGGTGAAAACATAATAATCACCACAGGAGTGGAAGCCGGAGCTTGAGGTGAGCGGTTCCACTGGGGGTGTGGGGGGGGGGGGGAGGTGAGCAAAATATTGACTGGGTTCGTTCCAGAAGATGGCAAGAAATCAAAACCATGGGAGAATAACTCGTCTACACAAGCACAACACCACCAACGATACCAGCACCAAACAACCAAAACTCCAACTAAAAAAATCGTAAAGGCTAGAGATGAAAACAGAAACACGATGACACAACACAGGGCGGTAATGCTTGACTGAGGTGTGCCGTGACCGATTCACTCTCGTGCTGATGGTTGTAACTTCTGAGGGGTTGGGTGGAGCAAAACAAATTAAATCAAAGAAGGGGGGGAGAGGAGGAGGAGGAGGAGGAACGTCGGGGTCTGAAACAGCAAACGGCAAAATGGACATTGACAAGACAATACAGAGATTTGTGGAGTAAACAGATGTCTGGTGTGTTCACTAGTGTTGTGTGGAGTGTATTTCTGTGCATTGTTCTACATTGTATGGCGACAGACAACACCGTATAAGAAGGCTTTTAATGCACCGTAGGCACGAAAAGTAATGTCATTCGTATAATTATAGCAATCACCTGCTCTGTACAGTGTTAGACTTTTAGAGTGAGACTTCTAAAAATAGGCACATATATACGGAAACAAAATTAAATAAAAAATAAAAAATTTTATAATTAAGAACCAATAGCATTGGAATATTTCTACTTTGGAATTCATCTGTTTTGTTGTTTAAATTCCCCTTAATGACATTTTTTAGACAGATGATTTAGACAGATTTTTTATTACTTTCAAGTTACACAATGAGAGAATTTGATTTCTCTAAGTTTTTTCTAAGGGTTTCAAATTCACAAAATGTAAGCGCCCAACATTCTAAAAAACTCTATTGACTTATCTCAAATTCAGTTCAGTCATACTCTGATCTAAAAATGAGGTCGCTTTAAATGAGATTTGTTACATTCACACACCATCATTCTAAATAAAAGATTCAAACTACTAAGGATCAATGAAGCCTGAAGGAATCGATCAGACCTAACTGTCCTATCAGGGCACATGATTCAAGAACCAAAAAATAAAATAACTTGAACAGATGAGTGATTGGAAATATTGGACACTGGAATTTTATAAATTTGTAAACCAGAAAAGAAAGTCTTTGAAATTTAAAATTTGAAGTCAAAGTAAAATATTTTAATGCTATAAATACAATAGTTGTTAAATTTTACAATTTGGTCAGCAGTTGCTTATGGAAATTATAATCACTACTGTGGTTTTTTTCCTCTTCCATACCCATATTTCCCCTCTAATATACTTCTTTATTTTTCTACTTTTTTGGTCTTTTAACTGCTTTTATTATTGCTAACGCTTCATACACCATCACTACGAGAAGAACCCTGCAATACTATCGCAAGCTAGGTGCAAGTTGTGGCACGCCTGCAGTTTCTGCATAAATGGCACATTTCTAAAGCGATAGTAACGCCCCTCTCTGGCGGTAAGCCTTACCTGTCCGGCGGCCTGCCCCGAGCCATCGGCACAGACGAACTGCACAAATTCCTTCAGGGGGTCCTGTCCAGGGTGGTGGTGGTAGCGGATGGTTGGGTGGGTGAAGTAGGGGCTAGACTGCTGGATGATGGAGGGAGACGGGAAGTGCAAGGCCGAGGCTGAAGCACGGGGACTCCCTGCCAACAGAGACATTTCTGTTAGAGGGACACAAGCGGAGAAGGATGCTGAGAGCGAGAGGACGCTGACAACTGAAGTCCTACAAATTCTTACAGATGGGAGAGAGATGTGTTGAGTGATTAACGAATGAAAGCAAACCACATCACATCACAACTGGAAACGGTCAAGTACAAATCTGGTTTCAAAATGTCAAACATGAGAGGAATGTTTTTCCAAGAGAAGCTGATTTCAAGTTAACAGCTATTGTGGGCATTGCTCATAACGTTTTAATGTTTTAATGTTTTATCACTCCAATAAATCTATACAGCTTTATGGAGGAGATTAACACACACACACACACACACACACACACACACA